ATGGCTGAACTGAGTTAGTGCGACAAGACAGAGAGAAGTTAACACCAGCTACTTGAGGGGCGGGTGGGGCGGGGTTGGGGGTCTCCTGTTTAAAACCCAAACCAAACACACAGACCATCAAGAATGCTGCCTTAAAAGACAAGAGGACCAAAAGTGCACCTGTCCCCACGCTTGGAAAGACACTGCACGCGTGGTTGGTGTAAAGCTCCGGAAGGTTCCGGAAGACACAGGCAGGTGTGATCCTGGCCAGGTGTGGGCGAGGCTGCATGAGGGCCTCAGAACACCCCGCCCCGGGGCACAGGGGCTGGGCGCAGGCCCCCGATTGGGAGGCTGGGGCAGCAGGCGTGGGCTCTAAGCTCTGGGATGACACGGCCCTGCCTCCCCACTCACATCCCTACTGGTGACCCAGAAGGTCTCACCAAGCCTGGCGTTCACACACGTGGACGCTGTCACCTGACAGCCACGGCCCCGAAGCGGGTGTGGGTGGCAATGCTGAGATGCCCTCCCTGGTCAGGGCCCGCTGGTGTATGGAGAGGAATGGCTTCGGGGTCCTCAGACCCAGGAAGGAGCAGGGCGGGGAATCCAGGTGGAGAAGAGCATCTGGCCAGCTCCCTCCCGTGGCAGGGCCAGGGCCCAGCCCCCCTCACGGCCCCCACTGCCTTCTCTCTCTCTCTCATCCCGGGGAGGGAGGGAGGCCCACCTGCCCACCAGCCGGAACCAGGGGAAGCGGTCGTAGAAGGGGTCTCCGCCGGTCACTACATTGTCACAGTCCTCGATGACGCTGGAGGGCACCTCCGCCGCCCGGTCATACATCTCCCGCATCAGGTCCAGGCGCTGCCTGTTGGGCATAGGTCAGAGTGGGCCCGGGCAGACCATCCTGGGGACGGGATCAGCTCAGCTCCAGCCGGGGTCCTGCCCAGGGCCACCCATGGCTCGAGCCGGTTTGCCAGAGAGATCCTCCGCGTCCTCGAAATCACCACACGTTCCTCTAAACTCCCACCAAGTGACGGCGGTGGGGCATCAGCAGCGAGAGGGCCGGGATCACAGGTGGGAGGGATGGGAAATCACAGCTCGGAGCCCTGGAAGCTCCAGGAATGATGGGCAAGTTGATGACAGAAAACGAGATACTTTAGAAGGTATCACCCCCAGGAAACGGGCAGGTTGCAGGAGAAACGCAGCCGCCTGCCCCGAGGGCTCAGGTGTCACAGGAAGGACACAGCAGGGGCGATCATCCTCCCAGCACAGGACTGTGGCCCCCGGAGGCCAGGGAAGGGGCAGGTGGGCGTCCGTGTGCCTGAGCGTGGGGTGACCCACGCAGGATGGAAGTGTCTGAGTGTCTGAGTAGGACTGAGTGTGTAAACGTGGGTGACTGCGTGTGCCTTCCATTTTCCTCTGTATCTCCTGATGTTCTGACATCTTTGGGGGCCTCGCTGGCTGCAGGAGGCCTCGCCCGGGCCAGCCCATCCGCGGACAGGGGGCAGCCTGTGGGTGAGCCCCCCCACCTGCCTAAGCCACCCTAGGGGCAGGTAGCGGGCCACTCGGGGCAGCTCCCCACCCCCGCCCCAGAGCCTGCCAGCATTACTCTAACTGGGCCGTCCTCGCTGTCCACCCCACCCTGCGTGCCCACAGAAACCTCACAGAGGCCCACTGAGGCCCCCCCGCCCCGCGCTCCTTTGCCCCTGATGGCCCTGCACCGCCCCCGCATGCGGATACGCCTCCGGTTTCCAGGGCAACAGTAAACTTTTCTTTAGGGGCAATGGCCTTCACACATGAACAGCCAGGCACACATCAGAGTGAGCGTGTGGGGACCTGGAGCAGCAGAGCTGTCGGACAGCCATCTCCTGGGATGCCTGGCTGTCCCCCTGCGCCCCAGCTCGCCGGCAGCGAGGCGGAGGAGCCCGGCCCCATGCACCTGCCCCGCGAGCTTGGCTGGCTGCTGCTGCCGGGGGGCTGCCCCGTCTCCCTGCGGCCCCGCGGCCGCCCTCTTCCACTAAGCACACTGCACGCCCCCGCTGCGCTGGCCGAGGGCGACACGGATTCTAATAAGGCTGGGTCCCTTCTACTTGTTTCTCCTGATTTCAAAAGAAACTGAAGCAGGAGAACAGCTGCTCAGACACGTGAGCCCGTCCTGCGCTCACCTCAGTTTCTAAGGCCTCGAGCCGGGCAGCATCCCCGCCCCCACCGCCCACCCAGCTGCCTGCCCACCGCACCTGAGTTTCTCCAGCGTCCAGTAGTGGGTGGCCCCGTTCTTCTGGTCCTGGACCTCCACGGCCACAATGGTGCGGGGGAAGGGGCGAGTCTCTCGGTCTCTGGCAGCCTCTGGGGGCAGCAGGTCCGGGGGCAGGGGGGAGTACAGCGTGTCCGTGAGGAGGACAAACTGGAACTGGACCTGTGTTCGGGGAAGATGACCACACATCAGCCCCTTGGAGGGTGAGTGCCAGGCCAGGAACGGCCTCCTTCCCAGCTCCTGGAGATCTGGCCACGCACCCCACAGCGGTTCTCTGGAGCCTTCCCACCAGCTGTGGCGAGGAAGCTCCGCCTGCTCCCAGGCCTGCCTGTGCCCGTGTTGGTCAGTCCCTAGACCTCCCTCGAACCGCCCACCCTCCTGGGGTCCGGGTCAGGCAGGCCGCCCCACCCTCCCCCGGAAGCAGAGCAGCTGGGCACCGGGTCCCGGCCAG